TTTTTTTTTTTTTTTTTTTTTTTTTTTTTTTTTGTTTTTTTTTTTTTTTTTTTTTTTTTTTTTTTTTTTTTTTTTTTTTTTTTTTTTTTTTTTTTTTTTTATTTTTTTTTTTTTTTTTTTTTTTTTTTTTTTTTTTTTTTTGCTTCTTTTTCATAAAAATAATATAAATAATAGATTTGAAAATTGAGAAAATGGAATCGGTTATCAAAAACTCAAATGCTACGATAGCAACCTGAAGCCGTAATGTCTTCACACACCAGACTTGGCTCGAATGTAGAGCGATTTTTTTTTCTTTTCGTGCAGTTAAATGAGGTAAAAATCGGTTATATTTTACTACATACATGGTGTAGGTAAAGTGGAGATCCTCTAAACTTCGGCAGTTAAAATTTTACTTTAATTCTGATCCTAAAAAATGTACATAATAAACTCCATGGAATTTGCGGAATCTGGAGAAATTTTGAACCTGAGATCTCGCAAAGGATTAACTAGTCAAAGAAGACGCCGCTCAAATCAAGTGTAGTAAGGGATTTAACTTGTAGTAAATTCATTTACAATAAAACTGTTTTCGATCTTTTTTTTTAGATCAAGTAACCAACGAATAATGATACGTTGACAATTCAATGACGTTGAAAGATAGTGTGAATAATAATTCAAGTTTTTTTAAAGAAGACATTTGTGGGTAATTGTCCTAAAATATGTCGGAAATAATATCATTTTAATAATCTAACAAAATATTAGGTCTCCTATTTGGTAAATATAACAATACAATAATAGCTTTGGAACAAAACAGCATTTGTCTTGCAATGATGTTAAGTCGATTTAAGGCCTTTGTGGACTAGGCACAGCCAACATAATCAATGATGGGAGCACAGACGATGGGAGCACAGATGATGGGAGCACAGATGATGGGAGCATGAGGATGGGAGCAGAGATGATGGGAGCAGAGATGATGGGAGCACTGAGGATGGGAGCACAGACGATGGGAGCACCGAGGATGGGAGCACAGATGATGGGAGCATGAGGATGGGAGCACAGAGGATTGGAGCACAGAGGAATGGAGAACAGAGGATTGGAGCACAGATGATGGGCGCACAGAGGATGGGAGCACAGTCGATGGGAGCACCGAGGATGGGAGCACAGATGTTGGGAGCACTTTCAGTGTTTCATAATCTGTTGTAACTTGGGACTAATTGAATAAAAACAATCCACTTGCTGGTTTAAATTGCCATTGAATCAACGCAGGTTGGTTACTTGTTCGTGCCCCCCCCCCCACTTTTAATAGAAAGATATAGTAGGGGTCCGCTTGGGTTAGGGTTTAGGGTTAGGTTTAAGAAGGGAATAGCAGAACAATAAATAGATGATGGAACCTCTGCGAGAAGAAAGCAGTGGGGAGATGCTGGAGTGTATTGATCGCTTTCATTCTGCACTCCAGATCAGATCATCAGCGCTCAAGGAAGTTGCAGATATGTTTGGGGCTGTTCCACCCTAAGAGTCTACTATCAGCAAGTGAAGAAGAGTTATTGGTGCCCGGTCCAATATTGACACCTTCCTATGATGATTTATCAGAAGATGAACTTTTAAAAGAAATACCACCTAAATGCGGCTGATATTGAATTTCACGAAGTCATAGACTGGTCAGTATTTGTTTGTTTTTTTTTTGTTTTTTTGTTGTTGTTTTTTTTAATTCATAGCTGAATGAGACTTTCTAGAATCTCTTCCAGTACTTTTGCTAAGCTTTCAATTGTATTTTACGATCTGTGTGTCTGTGGCTTCGTGTCATTAGAGCTTTTCAAAATTAAGGCTTATCAAAAACTGTTTACAATCCACCATGGGACAGTGAAGGCTTTTTGATCTGGCTCTAATATCAATTAAAATAGATACGGTTAAGGATATTGATTTTGCCTAAGTGATTGACAGGTTTTCAGCTTTGAAAACCAGGAAAAGAAAAATTTTAATAAAGTAAATTTAATGTAAAAATAATGATAACGTAACGCTGTTACAGTTCTTAAATACACTGACCTTTGACCTCCTGAACTTCAATTGATTTTATTTTTTATTATTATTTTTTTTTTTTTATTTTTTTTTTTTCTTGTCTGGTTTATATTGTGGACTTATTTTAACAAGGAGAAATCCATCGTGGAAGTCGGGGCGGGGGGATGACACTATGAATTTACCGCACCGGGTGACACCAACTCTAGCTGCGCCATTGGGCCTAAACTACATTTTTGGGGGGCTGGTTTTTTTCATAATAATTTTAGAATGTTGTATAATATATTTAAATAAGTATATTTATTTACATTGTGTCCTGTGGTCAATTTTAGTGTGGTCAATATTATATATCCAAATTGTATGGTAAAAACCACAACGGGAAATTCATTATCTTCTTCCTATTGGTAGAACTGGAAGAAGATTATGATTCTTACGTACAGATTGGTAATGGCATAGACCAGTGGTTCTTAACCTTGTCGGAGGTACTGAACCCCACCAGTTTCATATGCGCATTCATCGAACCCTTCTTATTAGGAAAAATAAAATATACGTTTTTTATGATTTTTTATTGGACCTCCGCCGAACCCCTGAGACTGATTCACCGAAACCCTGGGGTTCAATCGAACCCAGGTTAAGAGCCACTGGCATAGACAAATAATATGTATATATGCTAAGCTCAAATGCTTTTGAATATATAATTTTAGCCCCCCCCCCCTATTGGATTCCAAAATCATTAAAGAGAAGAGTTTTAAGTTGTGTATGGATATGCGTATGCAAATTATGGAAACTTTAAATGGGAATCCAAGGACTCATCTTAGGCTTCCCAAATATCGTCATTAACTGCGGGGTTTGAATATGTCAAGGCCACCGAAGCTATTTTTGGAAAGCTGCTTCTAGTCATTTACACAGTGCTGTTAATAAAAAAAAAATGGTGACAACAGGCTTGAAGCCGATCATCATTTGAGGAAAACTATGATTACGTAATTGTTTTAGTAAAGTACAGTTCACCTGAAGGTTGTTTTGCGTTTGTTCTTTTGTTTTGTTTTGGTTTTTTGTTGTTGTTGTTTTTGTTTGTTTGTTTTTTTTGTTGTTGTTGTTTTTTTTTGTTGTTTTTTTTGTTGTTGTTTTTTTTTTACTGTTTGTTTTTTTGTTGTTTTTTTTTGTTTGTTTTTTTGTTGTTGTTTTTTTTTTTACTGTTTGTTTTTTGTTGTTGTTGTTTTTTTTTTTTTGTTTTTTTGTTTTTTTTTTTTTTTTTTTTTTTTTTTTTTTTTTTTTTTTTTTTTTTTTTTTTTTTTTTTTTTTTTTTTTTTTTTTTTTTTGTTGTTGTTGTTTTTTTTTTTTTTGTTTTTTTTTTGTTGTTGTTGTTTTTTTAAGGCAGAGTCAAAGATTTGAAGAGCTTGAATAACAAGCCGAGTACACGTTGTAAAATGTTGACTACAAAACTTTCTTACTTAAAGAGGCAACGAATGAAGAAAACGCAAGGAAAAAATGTCAGAAGCGCCCCTGCTGAATTAGATAAATCCTCTCCTAAAGGATTCAGGATAATATTCTAAAATCCAATGTTAATATTAAACTTTAAAGAGATTACTGAGTACAGTTTCACGAATCCCATTTTTTTTCTTTTTTTTTTTTTTAAATTCGGCAGTGTTAAACTGTTCAAAGTAATCGTGCCCCGAACTTACAGATGAACTTTACAATATCACATGATTTATTTTTTTTTAACATAAGTGAACAGAGGAGCTCAAACTATCTCATGTGGACCTTTATCTAATCAAATGCTGCAAGGAACGTTTCCAGATGTCATTTTGATAGTATCGAATTAAAGAAGTCTTGGGAATATTTCTTATTTGATGCTCATGTGTGTAATGGGGGGGGGGGGGGGGTTCTTATTTGAAAATTCAAACGAATTAAAAATGAATTGAAGGGTTAAGGAGTTTCAAGAAAGGTTATTCGCGTTGATCATTTTCGCGCAGTAATGAAAGTGGCAGCTTAGGAAAAAAAAACGTGTTTCATTTATTTATTAAAATATGTTCTGAAATAGACTGTTTAAATTAAGGTTCAGTAGTCTAATATTTAGTGATTCACTGTCAGGTAGATAATACCATCTTAAAGAACTAATTCCAGGTAATAAAATTTATATTTTTAGAATAAATAACGTTACCTGTACACAACAAAATACATCTGTATGCCGTTACTAACAATTTTTTTGTAAAATTTAGAACGTTTTTAATATTTTAATGGGTTTTGGGCGGTGTGATAGCAAGGGGCCTCAAAAGTTTAAGGCCTGTGGCCTCTCTTTAGCTAAACCCGGTCCTGGTCCCATACATTAATTGTGCTCATGTTGCTCAGAATTAATTTTATAGAGTATTTTCCCAACCTAGGGTGTGAATTGATATATCAAGGAAAAGCGTTTACAGTCACACACAAAATTTTGTAGAAATATAACAGTATGCCGGTACTAACAATTTTTTGTATAAGTGCAAACGTTTTTTAATATTTTAATAGGTTTTAGGGAGTGTGATTGCAATAGACATCAAAATTTGAATAGCCAATGTCCTATGTCTATGTCCTCCGGTTCATTAGCTAAATCCGGCCCTGGTCCAGTACATTATTTTTACTTCTGTTGCTCAGCCATAATGCATTGGAGGTGTGAATTGACATATTTAGGAATAGTGTTTTTAGTTTTTAAAAAAAACAATAGAAGTTGTGAAACTGTCAAATAATTCAAAAGTGTCTCAGAATTGGGAAATCAATGTTAAAATTACTATAATGTTGTGGTTTAAAACAGCCGATTGTTTCAAAGAGTGATCTCCCCACAATTGACTATTTCAGTTGTGTTTACATCCGGTTTCACATTAATAGCCATGCCTGGCACTGTTGCAGAATATAAATCTTATTCATTCTTATTTTGAAAAAACTACAATTTATTAATTTGTAAAAAAGCATATCCTCTGCAGATAAGCCAAGTAGTTACTGTACCAGAGGGATGACTGAAACAGTAACCAAACGATTTTACATTGGCGGATTAGCAAGTGATGTTTCAGCAGACGAGATAACTGAAAGATTTTCTCGTTTTGGAAAAGTCAGGAATGTAAGCTTAAAGTCACGCACTGACGATGAAGGTAATGAAAGATAGTGCAGAATTTCTATCAGGATAGAAATATTGGTATAGTAAATATAAAGGAATTACGGAAAGATAGATCTGGGGGTAAATTTCGAGAGAGATACCCTGCGTTTCCCATAATTGCCGCCATCTTAGTTGACACGAAAGGTGAAGTGTCAACCAAGATGGCGGCCAAAATGTAGTGCAAAACACGTGTTATGAAATGACTGTTTAGGGGAGACCCCCTCCCCCACTTTAACCCTCTTGGGACGATCTATCGGCCCAAGGTTGAGTAGCGAGAAAGGCGTAAGTCCGAACCATCTGCCCGTTAAATCAAGCCTCACGATTGGCTGGCTTGGCGTTGTACCAGCGAATCAAATGTATTCTTACGTATTCATGTACATCCCGGCATTGTAATGGCGGCATTCGTTGATGGTGAACTAGATTTATTTGTGTGCAGGAATTTTTTTTGTGTAAGTATAGTTATATCGTGAAATTGGAACATGTCTGACAGTGACTCTGATCAAACTGTGCTTAGTAATTTTGATATTCTAGCAGTGAATTTGACACCGAAACTGATGAAAACAACCAGGAAATTAATGAAGACTTTCACATTGAAGTTAATGCTAATGTTGTGAATTCTTGGTTTAGTAATACTAGTATTAGGGCTAAGGGTCCTCAACTGGACTGTGATGACCCCTCTGAATTTTTAGACAACATAGGTCCTATAAATAAGGCATAAGCACCCCATTTGAGTACTTTATGCTATTTTTACACTAAATATCACTCAAATGTTTATGAGAGAGACCAAAAGATATGCAGACAAATTTCTCAGTAACATCCAGCCGAAGAGGAGGTCCCTAGGTCATAAATGGGGGCCTGTTACAGTGTGTCTGTAACAACTGAAAAATAGGGAGGGGGGTGGAAAAGGAGTAGAATTATGTTCCATATGTATCTGAAGGCCATCCATCAAAAAATTCACACAATTGATACAAGTAAGTCATGTTTATTCTAGGTTTAACAAAAAATTACACGCTTACATTATGCAAATCAGGGTTGCTCATTTGCATAAATGTTGATATTTCAGTTTGATTCATAAAGATTGTATTAGTTCATTCAATTTCCTACAAGAATATATACTGTTTTACATATATTAAGGAAATAGTTTATTTTTTATAAAAAATTTTTGCAATGCGGGTGCCGAGCTTGTAAAAAGTGCTCCGTCTTTTTGGCACATACACCCCGAAAAGGCTCCATCCTAAGAGGGTTAAATACCAAAATGAGAAACAAAGAAATTATCTGGAGAGGGGTGACCCCTCCCCAATGTAAAAAAATAAAATAAGAAAACAGTTGATCCATAAACCTAACCCAAAGCCTAAAGCCACAAGTAAGCAGCCGTAAAAACACATGGAATTTGAAAATGAAGAAAAACAAAAAAAATGGCAAAAAAGAAGCCAAAAATAATTCTAAAACCAAGAAATAATTAAAACCCAACTTACAGTTTCATGAAATACACTTTTACACAATTTATTACAGGTTCCAGTAGTTCCTGATAAAAAAATATGCACAAATGATTGGAGCACAACTGCCGGCATTAGGCCAACATGTTGAAAAGATGGTGGCGCAAATAAAATATGATAATTAGCCAACCTATGATAATTTAAAATTATAATCCACCAATTAAAATTTTAATAGGAAACATGTCATCAGCACTTCCTCCGACAATTAAATGAACAAAGGGGAATGACTCCTGCACAAATATTAAATAAACATGCAAATGACGTCATGGGTATAAGTACCAACAATAGCCGATCTTTTTAAATTATGAAAACCCAACTTACTGTACTGTTGCATAGAACAAAGTGTCTACATGTCCGGAGAGCGGACGAATAAGTTCTCGAGATATTCATCCGGCGACAACATCACATGACTGCCGTAACAAAGTTGCTAGAGATTTTTGTCCGTCAGCCTTGTCACGTGACAGAATAGTCGATCAGACAATTGATGTTGGAGATGCATGTGGGCGACGAGTTAACTTAATTTCAACAAATAGGGATGGGGGGAAGCGATGAATACTAGAAGGAAGAAATATTGAGAGTGAGACAGAAAGTATAAAAATTATAGTGAGGGTGATAAATAATCAAAGCGGGGAGGTTGATAGTTCGCAACAAAATAGACCCTACATCTTTATTAGGGCCAATATAGTGTGCTGCTGGGAAGCCTACTACTCACGCAATGTTAATAACCTAAAATAACTTTTTTGACATAGATCTATTGAAAGTCAACTGGCAGGTATTTGTCTTATTTTGTTTGGTTCATATTTTAAATATAGGCTACTAGGTAGAGCTTTATGAGACATTTAAACCAGAGGCGTAGCTAAAGGGGCAGATGTCACTGGGTGCCAGACCAGGGACACCAAAGTGTGCTTTGATATTATTTTATTGATGAAAATAATGGGTTTCAAAGTTGAAAAAAGAAGTGGGGGGGGGGGTGCTTTAAAATGAATCTTGTCTCCGGGCGCCAAACACTCTAGCTACGTCTCTGAATTAAACCAAGATAATAGACTTTTTTTTTTTTTTGAAGAGTCGGATTCAAATCTGGGTGCCAGACCAGGGACACCAAAGTGTGCTTTGATATTATTTTATTGATGAAAATAATGGGTTTCAAAGTTGAAAAAAGAAGTGGGGGGGGGGTGCTTTAAAATGAATCTTGTCTCCGGGCGCCAAACACTCTAGCTACGTCTCTGAATTAAACCAAGATAATAGACTTTTTTTTTTTTTTGAAGAGTCGGATTCAAATAGACTGGTATATAGTTATATAGGCCTACTATACTACTAGTGTTATTATAGTATTAATTCAAAGTCAAAAGCTTATGATATACTGTATGTATCTCAGAGCTTTTGAAAATATTACCATATTCAGTATTTATTTATTATCTTGGGATCGGCTGACTAATATATATACACAATATTGGAATATCATATGCAATGCAACTATTTTGCAGGTGACCACGTGTCTCATGGCATGTCTGCCGGAATAATAACACATCCAAGTGGTGCCTGCAGGAAGAATATCTCCCACGCTCACACTATTTGTCCGGACGTGTAGACACTGCCTTCATAGAATACACATTTACACATGGAGGTTCCAATAAAAATATAATTCAAAAAGTGTCCGAAAAATGTATACCCATTCCATAATGCCGGAAATATTTAGCCTAATTTTAAATATATGCCTAATTAACCACCCATTGAAATATTAATTTACAACATTCCAAATTTCATCTGTGACTGTGAATAAATATATAAAAAAAGATAGATTACCTCTTGTAATAATCCAAGAATAAGCAAAAGGGAGAGAATCCTACACAGAACCTCAAAATGACGCATAGAACCAACATTGGCCAATATATTAAAAACAAATCTAATAAATGCAAAAATTTTGACACTTCCTATTTCCGTCATTTTAGCATGCCATTATTGTCATCAGATTAATTTAATCAGTTGACTTTGGGTTAGCGGTAAGGCCAGCGATGTGTTTCACAGTATATAGGTCACGAGGCTCCCCAAGGTCAACTTCTGTCTACAGGGCTGTACTCAAAAGATAATGTTTGTGTTTTCTTATTTTATTTTTTTTTTAATTGGGGAGAGGTCCCCATCCCAGATGATTTCTTTGTTTCTTATTTTGGAATTTAAAGTGGGGGAGGGGTCTCCCCTTCCAAGTCCTGAGAAGATCATTCCAATTTAAGCAGTAGTCTCCCTTTTGTTACCGAAGTTTTAAAATACGATTACTTCGATTTGCAACTAATCAAACGATTGCAATTTTAGTGCGCATCTTTTTTTTCACTGGTGTTGGATCTCAGGGTATCAGCAAGTATGTGTTTCCTTTTTTTTACTCTCTTTTGAAACGTGTAACCAAATTTTAATACAAATTTTACACAGGAAATCACATCAAGTCTTTTGCACATCTTGATATGGAAACGGATGAAGCTAAAATGAAAAAATGTAAGTTAAAAACACTTTCACTATATAGTCAAGGTAAATTTAATTAGGACTCTAAATTAATTTTAAAATATGATCATGTTTCTTATTAAGTTTAATCAATACTGCAAACAATTTTTTAAGGTTTTGACACATACCAAAACACCAAGTGGAAAGGGTCAGTTTTGAAACTGCAGTATGCTAAGGAGAGCTTTTTAGAAAGGTAAGGAATGATGTGCATCGAGTCTGATGTTTTCCCTTGAAATATTTTCTTCCTTTGAACCGGAGTCCATTTTCTGAAATTCCCAACTTTATTATATGAGAAACCATAAATGTGTATACCTCTCAATCAATCAAAGCAATGATTCATCCATTTATTTTACAAGTATCAGTACCTCTGCTAACTAAATGTGCTGGGGGTATTAACTTCTTTAATTTTATATTATACATGGTTAGATCCTAATAATTAAATATTTTTTTTACATGATCTGTAATTTAAAGTTCTCGCCATTTTTTTTTCAAGGCTTGCCAAAGAAAGAGAAGAAAATGACATTGAAACACCTCCAGAAAATCCATCACCTGCGAAAGCGCCAGATAAGTCAGATATTAAAGGTCCGGCTGTTCCTGGAACACCTGTGCCAGGAAAATCAGTAAGTCTTAAGTTATTTTATTAGTTGCTTTTGACAACTTCAATTTTCTGTATTTTATTCCAAAATAGCTGTCTTATACCCTGATAAAGTTCTTTAAAAGCTCTATTAACATGATAAGTGTTTCTATAATTTTTGTCCAGGATTGGGTTGTTGCAAAGTACGGCAGAGTGCTACCTGTTCTAAAGTTGAAAAAATCATACAAGATTAAGGTAATTTTTCTCATTATATTATATATATATTACTTAAATGAAAACATTGATACCCTTATTAGCAGGGGAAATTTTATCTGGTTTCTGTTGAAATACAAAGCTGTTGACTTTCCTTAAAATGTCTGCTCCGAACAGGGTGTCAAACACGATCCTTCAAAACACTGCCATGCAGCAAAAGTCTTCAAAGATGAAAGTGATCCAGTCACAGATCCATCCTGTAATAAACTCACCTGGGAATTAAATACACCTGACAGTGAAATCACAAAAAAAAGAAAAGGGGAATTCCCAGAAGACTCGAGTCCTGTTAAACGAAACAAAAGTAGTGCTCCTATGTCAAAAACATCTCAAGCTGCTTCATTTAATTTAACCCAAAGTTCTTTTAATTCAGTCTCTGGGCAAAGAAAAAATCTCTACAAAAAGGAAGAAGATGAATTGGAAATTGTAAAAATAGGCCAAGGTCACAAAACAATATGTAAACCTTTGAACAACTCCAATAAGTTTGACAGCGATATTGAAAGTGACGTAGAAGCTAAAATTATTGAGGCTGAGCCTAAAAAGAACAAGGATATGAAGAAAAAAAATAATAATCAGGTGCTTAAGAAAAATGTTGTCATTGCCATCAAAGATGGAGGAGAGAAACAGGCACCTGTAACAGATTTGAATACTGGTACTGTGGAGAGAGAGGTGAGCTCTAAAAATAGTTCAGTGAAGAAGGCGGAAACTAATAATAATGTTTTGTCCCCTAAAGCTTTTGTAAATGATAAGATTAATGATTTCAAATGTCAGAGTCCACAGGATGAGACCAAAATCCCTGAGGTTTCAGGTTTCAAAATTCTAAATCCTGACACTGCAGCTGTGAAATCTCCATTCTTAAAGGAAATCCCTCATAAAATTTCAGTTCATCTCTCATCCCAAAAGCTTCCAGTTGGCAATAATAAAAACAAAAACAAGTTTTCAGAAGACGATGATCCCCCTCGTTTAATCCCAGAGTTCCGTGGTTTAAGTATGCTTCCAGATTTTCCCAGCCTTCAAACAGCTGATCTAAAAAAATCGCAGGAAGTGACCTATTCAGTTCTTTCAGATGCCGTCGAGAAGAAAATAAGCAAACCAGAAGGTTCTCACATTTTAACAAATGATAACTCGTCCAAAAGTGTTGGTAAAGAAAAACACAGCACTGACACTGAGGGCGAAGGAGATTATGATTCTGCATCTTCTGCAGACACGGATGAAATCATAGCTAGATATAAGAGAACTAGTCAAATCAGTGGCAATGTGACACCTTCATCAGGGGCACAATCGGATGCTCCGACAAAAACAGTCAACTTCTCACTTCTTAGTAAGTCGCCTGTCATGCCCAAAGGCATCAAGAATAGTTTCATTGGTGAGGATAGTTACTATTTATCAGAATATTCACCTGGGCCACTTTCTGATTATTCACTTCCTAATTCAACACCTGGAGTTAAGACAGATGAGAGCTCTTATGACAGCGACCTGGACAGCAATGATTTTGAGCTTGTGGTTAAGAAACTGTCACAAAAGGCCAAAGCCGTTGCACCAGAGATGAGGAGTAAACCTGTCAAAGCAGAAATTAGGGAAATTGAGGAAGTCATTGAAAGTCATGAATCGAAAAGTCCACATAAAAACTTGGTAAGTTGTAATTAAATTTATGTTTGTTATAGTGACATATGAATAACTGAAATTTCTAGCTACATTATAGTATTAACAATCCTAAATTGTTCCCAATTATTGGTTTAAAATAAAGATTTTAAAACAATTTGTGTTTTATTGTTAATGGTAAATATAGTTATGTTTATCTATCATAAAAAATAGGTTTTTTTTTTTTTTTTTTGCTTCATCTTGTATATTAAAGTTTTCATGAGGGAAATAGGGTTGAAGAAAAATGACACCATAATTAGAATTGCTCCTGGGTTGTAGCTTCAAAAATTTTTATTTATCTTAAAAAATAGGTTTTTTTTTTTTTTTTTGCTTCATCTTGTATATTAAAGTTTTCATGAGAGAAATAGGGTTGAAGAAACATGACACCATAAGTAGAATTGCTCCTGGGTGGTAGCTTCAAAAATTTATTTTGCTGCCATTTTTAGTCTGGTCCAAAACAAAACAACAGTGCTCTATTGCATAAGAAAGAGAAGCCTCAAAGCAGTGCTGAGGATGTGGAGAAGTCTAAGCATCAAGACATTTTTTCAGACAAAGTAGGTCTAGCTATTTTTTTCTGTTGATCAGTATAATGCGTTGAAACTTACATTATTGTTAACTTGACATTTGGGTACTGCATGACAAAAAGGGTTTGTTGGGTTTTTTTCCCATCAGTAAACCCCAGTGTTAATGATCCCTGTTTCTTAAAATGTAAAAAAAAATGTGGCTGGTTAATTAAATTAAGCTCTGCTGTAATGTTTGGTTTATTTGTTTATTGGCATTTAAGTTAATACCACACTGTTTTGATGTTGCTGGTTTTTAAAATTCATACAATCAAGGTCAAGCATGCCGCAGACAATGAAAAAAGACTCCTGGCTATCCGAGAAAAATTGAAGTTGAAAGATCAGCAGACAAGCATAATGCAGAAAGCCTTACAAAAAGTGGTATGTAATGTAAAGCTGTATGTGATGTTGTTGTTTGTCCTTAACACGTGAAGATAACCAAGGCAATTTTTGACTTGAGCGGTAGCCTTGACTTGAGCTTTATTTTGTTCTAAGTGAAGCAGAGTTGCTCTATTCTCTGGTTATTGCCTAGTTGATCCAATGGCAAGACTTGGTCAAGACGACTGGAAATAGATCAGGATGCAGTAGATGGCCAGCAGTGTGATATAAAAAGCTTCATTAAGCTTTTGGTTTCTGATTTGATTTTTTTTTTTTTGCTTGATGGATGGTAAAGTGATGAAAAGAGGGGTTTTTTTTTTCTTTTTTGCATGGCTCTATCAGAACATTGATTTGTGATGAAGCTTTTTCTTATACAGGATTCCAAAGAAAACTCTGGCAACAGGATAGTTTTCAGCAGTGATTCAGAAAGTGGAGCATCCAGCGACTCTGATAAAGATGGCATTGAAGAATTGAATATCAAATCAAAAATTAAGGTAAACATTTGAAGGGTCCTTTCTGATTGTGGTAAATATTTGTAAAATTAAATGTTACAAACTTTTAAAAGAATAGGCCTTTCATTTTGCATGGACTTATTTTTTTATGAGAAAATTCATTTTTATTATGTTAATTTTTGGGTCATTAATTTCAAACAATTTTTTCTTATTTTATTCTAGAAGAAGCAGAAACTGACATTGTTTGAAAACTCATCAGATGATGACTCTGATAGTGAAGCTATGTTTGAATCTAAACCACATTTTGAAGGGAAAAAAGGAGAAAAGGTATTTTGCATTTTAAGATTATGTGATTATTTAATAAATGCATTTTCTTACCCATACTTTTCTAATAAGCTTTTAGAATGCATATAAAAATAAATATATTTTACTTCCATGAACTTCAACTATAATCTTCTGGTTCTCTGTTAGATTTATTTTTTTTTATCTTCATTTTTAATTACATAAAAAAACTTCAGTTTTATCATATTTGCAGCTGATGAAGTTGGAGAGAAAAATAGGGGATTCTAGATTCAAATTGGATGCAAAATTTGCTGAATCCGACAGTGATGAAGGGTCAGAGAAAGAAAAGGAGGAAATTGATGAAGCAATGGACATAGGTAAATATTTCTCATCAATTTTACAAAATTTGTTTTGCACATAGCTGTTTGTTAGGTTCAAAGATGATGTCCATACTGTTTATGTTTATTGCATTATCATTTTTTTTAAAAATTATTATTATCATTGACCAAAATGAGGAAGTCCATAAGTAAATACACTAATACATTATAGGACTGAGATAATCTGGTAATAAACCAATTGTGTTTTTAAAAAAATTGTATTTGGTTTAAAAAAAAGGAGAGGTTAAAACTTAGATCTAAGCCTGCACTTATATTGACATTTTCCTTTTATGCAAATGTTGTAGATGAAGGCCTGCAAAAAGAAAAAGCTGCCAGCCTCAAGGTGTTAGAAAATGTTATTGGAAAGTCTACACTCGACAGGTTCTCAGAAAAAATTAAACGAAATACAAAGCATTTAATGTGAGTATGATTCCCAAGAGGAAATGAAATGTGTTTTTGCTTTTATCTTCCTTAAGGAAGTTTGCAGTGAATCAAATGTTGCGATCTCCTTCTTATTGTCAAAATACTCTGGTCGATACCCCTTCAAGTACTTCTGGCAACATAGGCTACAACACATCTGCACTAAGAGTCACGCACACCAAATACTGTAGGCAGCGACACTTCATAACATAATACGGTTCATCATTATTCTTGATGCTGACACGACCTCCATGTCACATATAACATAACCTTGTAATGGGGACTAACAACGTCTTATGCAACCAATACTCAGCGTGAACTAACTTCCACATGCCATACACTCCTGGGCTACTGTACATCAGCTACAGCTAATTATGAACTCCATGTGTACTAACTCTTAACAAACTGCTGTGAACTCTCAACATCACTGCACTCCACAATAAGAAAAACTAACTTTTATGAACTGACTGCCACCTTGTGTTACCACAGTATTTGAACAACTCGCTCGTATATCAATCTTGAATAAACCGAATAATCGCAACTCGCCCTCACAAAAATTAGCTCACGATAAGCAACTTTGACACACAACCCGTCCATAACAGTTGTTTTAAGAAGTGAGTTTGTAATGTTAATTATTTTTACAGCATCCATTCATAAAAGTAATTTATCACTTTTGACTTTTCATGATTTCTTGGGGAAGAAAAATGGGTGATTTCATTTGGGGCTAGTGTGTTCTTGACACTCCTGTGCTGTTAAAATCCAAAGAAGAGTTGGAATGGAAAGAAATGAGTGTAAGCAGGACTGTTGTGTGGCATTATATAATGTGTTACCTTCTTTTAATACACAGAGACATGAATGCTGTCAGGTTTGATCCCACCAAGATATTAACCCATAAAGAGGCACCAATCAATGATGACAAAAAGTTTGTAAAGATATTGTTTTCATAAAAGCTAATAAAGTTGAAAAACATTTAGTTTTTAACAGCAAAATAATTTTTTATTTTTTTAAATTAATTTCTAAACATTTTGAAGTATTTAACTTTAACAATTGTTGCCATGCCCATTCTGAAGAAAATTATTTTTGCCTGATGTTTTAAGAAAAAAAAAAGTAATGGTGTCACCACTGATCAGTCTTCAAGTAAATGATGTTAGCAGTAATAAAAAAGAAGAAAAGATCAAGAAGAGACATGAAGAAGTCAAGACAAGTGAACAAAAAGAAATTAATGGTCTTATAAAGAAAGGACAGCCAATAGATCTGGAATCCAAGAAGTTGAAGGAGAAAGAGAAGGAGCAGTGAGTTTTAAAATATATTGTTTTTAATCTATAAGATTTAAGAATGTTACAGGCATTCATTAATAAGCATGACACTAGAAATTTACCTCAGCTGTACATATGGGTACACAGTATCAAAATCGAATCATGATAATGTTTGTTTTACTTTTGTTTCAGGGTGATAAAGAAATCTGATGACTCAAAAATTGTTGAGTCACCAAGGAAGTCAAGAGTCAAATTAGCCACTTCATTGGTTAACCTTTTCAAGAGTAAGAATGAGGCCACCCAGGAGAAGGACAACACTAAAACATTTTCTCTTCTGGAACAGTTTGATAAGGATGATAACATGGAGCTTAGAAAAGAGGAAAATGATAGCTCTTCAGAAGTAAAAGGTGATTAAACTGTCTCAAAGATACATTTTATCATTTCTTCTTACATGAATTCTTTATAGTTTTATCATGCTAAAAGCAAATTTCCTGATCAATAGTACCCAATACATGCATTCCTAATAATTTATAGATCCCTTGCACAGTGTAAATTAGCAAAATTTCTAAATAGAATTAAGTTGTCTTGTGAACTACAGTAGGAGATTCTGGATGATTTTGGAATAGTAATAATAAGATTACAAAATCACATAAGACAAAAAGAAAAAGCTTTTGGGGGAAAGCTTAATCTGGAAAATCAAAACTAACATTGCTCCCATATTTTTTCAAATTTTATTCATTAAGTTGATGTGGTGAACTATTGTTCATTAATTTCATGTGGTGAACTATTGTTTGATCGTGTAGATGATGATAAGGCACCTCTATGTTTCATTAAGTTCATGTGGTGAACTATTGTTTTATCATGTAGATGATGATAAGGCACCTCTGTCAGGACTTTTCAAGAGCAGTAAACAACGTGATACAAGACTTGAGAAATCCAAAGAAAAAGCAGTCCTACTTCAAAAACAGCTCTTAGGTAGGTCATGGAATTTTTTTAAAGTGGTTTACTTGTGCTTATTTCAGACCTGTTTACCCTCAAACTCTTAAAATCGTACAATTGTTCAATACATTATCTTAATAGTAAAAAAATAAACATACAGTATATATAATGTATACACCTCAAAATCGTACATTTGTACGCCAAAATCGTAAGAGTAAACAGGTCTGTTATTTGTATGCATGCAAAAATTCTTTGTAGTGTTTATGTACAAAAATTAAATCGCGTATGAAACGTCAAGCCAGTAATAAAGGAAAAATTTTAATTAATGGTTCTGATCATGCTTTTGATTGGAGTAGAGAGAGAATTCGCTAATAAGTTACATAATGTGAAAAACACCAGAAATTTAAATGTTTTTTTTTTTACATTATTTAGAACAGCAGAATTGAATGTAGTTTTCAAAATTATTTTATCCTTGTAGAAGATTCAAATGATGACGACCTCAGTGAACAAGATCAAGGAGAAGATTCTGAAAATGATACGTAAGTTTGTGGTACCACTATTCATTAAATGAATTTATTACTTCTTTTAAAATATTATCATTTTGATGTCACACTCAAGGAAAAATTTTCATTTTTTCTCCTAGTATATTGCTTTAAATCAGAGGTTCTCAAGCTAAGTCAAATTTTAAAATTTATTTCTAAAATCATGTGTTATATCTCATAGGTCAACAATACAGATACCATCATTGGAGAATAAAACAGAGAAGCAGCTTATTGGTTAGTGTTTTTTTTTGTTGCTTTTTTATATTTATTTATTAATTTTACATGTGCGGAGGAAATGCAATAACAAAAATGGTCTTGTTAAACTTCAATGCATGCTTGCTCACAAGGTATCTAGTAATGAACAAATGATCTTTTAGAATTTTAAATATCAGGAATTTAGCCCCAGGTGCAGACCATGGCCAAATTTGGAAATTTTACACAAAAATTTTTTTTTTAAAGTTTAATGACCTGTGTGCATCAGCCGTAAATGAAAGTAGAAATTGACACATGCAATCAAAGGTTGCTATTTACGGCGTGCCTAACAATTATTATTATCATGTTATATCCTGATAAAATTGTCTATTGCTACAATCACTAAGTTAAATTAGATAAATAATTTTCAGATCCTCTCCTTTTGAACACCCACATTTATTAGAGTTCTTTCAACATTGTGTGTTCCCGATTAAACTAATGCATCAAAGTAAAGTAGTTCAAAGGTTGTGCAAAAAATAATGGCTTGGGTCATAACATTATTACTTGTATAGTATTTAAAGTACGGTAAATAAAGAATATTTTATGTTTTTAATTTCATCAGAAGCTGGCAGAATAGACATACGATTCAGCAAGGAACTATGGCTCCAAAGATGGGAAGAGTTAAGGCCAACTATTGTAAAGGTATATTTGTTATAGAAAACATTATTTTAATGATAAAAAATTATTAGTCATGCTAGTGCTAGCATGTTTAATAACTTAATCGGTGTCTTTTGCGCTCTAGAGCTTTGCGCAGAAATCGATCGATGTCTGCCGCCTCTTGCAACTTGTAAAGCCATTTTCCATGCTCATGCCCAGTTATTTAATTGCAGTGTTACAGCAGTTAAAGAGAAATTTGCAGGTACCGGTAAGGTTATTGCATTGAGGTATATTGATTTTTAACACTGTCTCTTTTACTTGCAGTTGTACAAAAGGAAACACAAGGAAGCTTTGAAAAGCAAGAGAGTGGATAATGAAATGAAGAGAAAGAAAGAGTTCTTGAAAAATGCAAAGAAAGGGCACTGGAATAGAAAGAGATAACTCAGACAGTAGATGTTAAATAATTATTAAAATATATTAAAATTGTACCTAAAATTGCTTGAGAATAAATATACATAAATATAAAAGTAATTTATCTAGTGCTTTGTCTCTTTTTTTTTGTTACAGGCTCAAAACTATATAAACTAAAATAAACAAGAACATAAAGGAATAGAAAATTTAAGAGCTAGGCATTTAATACTTATGTAATTTCACATTATCATTAACCCTAAGTGACTCATCTAACCACCCACTGTCAGGCTGGTGCCAAGTTTATTTACCGTTAGCTTTAAAATTTACATACGTTAGAATAGGTTAAGGAGGATCTGACAAATTTCTATGGAGTTTGTTCAGTGAGATGATGTAGCTAAATAAATTCAGCTCTCTAGAAAAATATTTGGCTCAAGGCCAAGGATGTTTTCAAGGTATTGGAATTAGAACCAATGATGTAAGTGCCCATCTGTTGTATCAGATTTCATAAGATGCACAGGAGTTATTAATTAACTCTGATAAAAGCCACAAGAGTGAATCCGATTGGTTCATAGGGAAATAAACGAGTGAGCTATAGCAGAAACATGTTTAGAGAGATTCAGTATTAGAATTGTATTATTAATATTAGTAGACAAGTCATAGGATAATCAACCAGGTGGATTTTTTGGTAGTGTGGTTGCTAGAGCCATCCTGTTAATAGGAACTGTTTAGGTAGGTGTTTTAGATAGACATTAAATTATATATTATAATGTGTTGATTTCGCTCTAACATATCATCATTCACCTTGGACTTAGTTACAAGTTTATACAAGCAATTATACTACTAGTATCAAATCAACGGAAATGCCAAAGTACTAATTTTTCTGTTGGTGGGAAGGGGCAATTATATAACAACTCTCAGTGAGACATTAACAGTAGACTAAAACTCTATGTGCCAGCTAGACATTGACCACATACAAAAAGTCACATATGCTGATGGGCAGAAAAATGTTTCAAAGATTGCCTATACGTAAAATTGTCAATAAAATCCATGGACATCAACTTGTTACTCATGGGAAACACTTGCATTGGATTGGTCAAGCTGGCTGGACAGACTCTCTGTTGGAGCACACTTTTCAGAGAGTTAATGTACAACTCATGGTAAAGTAGAATTGCCTCCAGTACCATAAGGACCCACAAAACACTTGTGTCCCACTTGCCAGCAAGGTTTCCCATCACAAATAGTACTCACAAACCTCCTGCATACACCTTGGTTATCTTCCTATGTAAAACAAGAACAACTAACAGTTCTTTCTAAATTAGTTGTAATAGCTGTATCCCAATATGTATTTGCAAAAAACAAAACAGAACCAATGATTAATTCAACAAAATATATTTATCACATAATTTATTCCATTTGAAACTGTCCAGTCAGTTGTTTTCTTACACCTATTATAGTCAACTCACAACAACTACCCCATCAACACATTGGCTATAACAGCATGTAACTGAAGAGGTGGCCATTAAGAAAGTTCTACACAAAATGACAATAACTGGTAGGCTAAAAATAATTGCCTCCCAAACAGTTATCAGTTTAGTTATTTTAAACCTTAAAATTAGCATCATTGATATATTATTTAACACATAATTGGATTATGTATCATGTTTTCATACATTTTTTTTTTTTAAACTAAGAAACCTAAAAGACATATCTGTATAGGACTAAGCAATTAATTATAGGGCAGCTGCTCCTGAAATGATCTCAATCAGCTCTCTTGTGATGACAGCTTGACGGGTTCTGTTGAATGTCAGTGTCAGTTTGCCAATCATTTCACCTGAAAAAAATTTGATTTAAAAATGAGCTTAAGAGAGTTTGCAACATTGTCATATCAAGCAAACACAAAAAGAACTTAGCAAATTTCCTATTTCAATTATAATACAGTGATTGCTATTCAAATAAAGTGGGCAATCTCAATAAAGGGTCAAACAGAAACTCACCAGCATTCTTGCTTGCAGCATCCATAGCTGTCATCCTAGAACTCTGTTCACTGCAGGCTCCTTCCTTCATAGCAAAGAGAACTAAACTTGCCAAAGAGAACTCATTGTAGCTTTTAAGAACATCATCATCCAAGCTGTCGTACAAATGTATCTTCTGTGCGCTCTGAATAGCATCAGGATTGTACAGTGGCAGTTCAGTTGTGATGTAGGAAATAACACTCCTGTGAAATTTTTTTAACATACCGTATTCAATAAAATTTGCATAGTGGAATTTCGCCGTTATCAGCTGAATTAAAAAATATCCTTGTGGAATAGTTTTTTCTCCACCGACCAACTTCCCATAAAAAGGATGGCTTAAGTTTACTGCTGCTCTCGAGAGTAAGTCACTCATCTTCATAAAGTAATCTAAGTTTATTTTCTTGGTTACCGTACCACTTTAGGAGCATCAGAAGTTTTGCAAGGTTGGAGAAGTTTTTGTGCAAGACAAGACCACTTTCAATTGAAATTGATGCACAATTTGATACTTAACATATATTTTCAAACATTATTCTGAATAAGACTTAATAAATTAGTACTAGTAGTAAAGGAGTAGTTGATGCTGACAAAAGTGACAATGATGATGGCAGTGATCTTTTGAAATTGTACCCATATACAACTTTAGATATTACAACTAAAAAGTTATTATTTTAAAGAAACTATAGTGAGAAATAAATTTCATTCACTTATGCAGTTTTTTTATTTACCAACAATTATGAAATATGCTATGGCTTGTGGATAAGTCGGGGGTAAAACTTTGGGCAATGAAAATCTGGGATTTTACAAATTTTGTTCCATTTTACCTAGCAGCAATTGCTGCCATGTAAACTAAACTATAGCAGGTGTCATCAGGCCTAAATTTTCTCACTCTGTAGCAAGTGACATCCCTGCGATATATATCAAAATCCTCTCTCCTCCCAACAATACAGGCTAACAGACTCAGCAGTCAGCGATGAAACATGTGACTTTGGTTTCAGATTTCAGTCAAGCATCAACAGCTGTTTTTTTGTCTGTGTATGTACCTAGTATCTGGGTCAATACAAGTACACTAGCATAACTGGAAAATCGTCATTTTCCAGCATTCAAATAAAAATTCAATCAAAACTAGCACTGACCCGTGGATTGGTCGACTGCATTTTAAAATGAAGTTTACGACTAAAATTTCTTCTACTTATACATGAGTATATACAATACATTTCCAAATGGGAGGGCGTCAGCAAAAGAATAGCAACTTACTTGAAAGTATTGAAAATAAGAGTCGCCCTGTCATATTTATAGTCCAAATTCAGAAGTGTATTGGCAACCAAAGCAGCATCACTGAAAGTGGGAGGTCTCTTTCCATAGTCATTAAAACTAATCAAAACATTCTGGGCTAGGGTCCTTGAAAAAAGGTAAATTTATTTTGTGACCAAGAAAAAAAGATTACAATTTATTTTTTAAACATAGAATGTTAAAAAAAAAAATTTTCATTACTATTATATATATATAATAACTTTATTTTAATTATAATTAAAATTTTAATAACTAGACACAATACCTTTGGAGGATGCCTTTTGCCTTGTCTCCAATGATGATAAATTTGGTGTCCACTGCAGATCCTTCCTCTTCTAATTTTGCCCTGATGTGTTTGACAATAGAAGAATGAATTCCACCACAAAGACCTCTGTCTGAAGACATCACTACCACTAAGTGATTAGGTTTGGTCTTGTCCTGTGCTATTTCAGCTTTTTGGTAAAAGGCTGCAACACATTATAGATAAATAATAGGCATAACCTAAGTAGTGTTAGGTTATGTTAAATACACAAATATACAGACACTTGTTTTATTTGCAAAAAGTGAGGAGAAAATTAAATACAAATTCATAAATTTGATGATGACTAGTGGCCAAGCAAGGCGAGTCTGTTTCACCATTTTAAAACAGCTCCACAACCATTGTGGGGCAAGAAGAGGCTTGGTGTGGCAAAAGGGGATGAAAAACTCGTGAAGACAATATAAATAAAAGGGACAATGATTAGGTAAATAGCAAGCTGTTAAACATTTGAAGTCAATTGGCACAGCCCATCTGCAGGTGCACAAGGCAAGTCATCAAATAAGTTACATTACAACTTTAAACTGGATATCGGGTACAGGAAGTTTTTGTTTTTAAAAAAACAGGCAATAGTGAAAAGGACATTTTTTAAAATATTTCTGTTATTTGATACACCCGCTTAAAAAGTGATTTATTGTATGTTATATTAATTGTTATGAAATATATACTGGCTCGTATTAATTTCACATATATAAGAGATATTAAAAAATGTAAAATGTTGGTGTGTGTAAACAGGACATGTTGTGAACTAGATTTGGGAGTGCCAGTGTTGGGTGTGAAGGCTTGTTGATCGTGGGGGGACTTTGTGAGTTGTAGGTCGTTGGGTCAGATCATGGAGTTTGTTCGTGGTTTTGAGTGTATGTTGGTGTTCGTGGTGATTGAGAGAAAAATGGGTCTGAGGACAGAGAGTGGTGTGTTATGTTATAGAGGCAGCCATCTAGTTTTGCTGTTAGGATAGAGTTCGAGAGTCAGCAGTGAGTAAGATGATAGTTCAGATGCTAGTTGTAGTGTTGTTTTCAAAAGAGCACATGTTATTGAGCCTGTTGTTATTTAGAGTACCGACTGTAAATAAAGAGCTAAAGTATTTTCAACATGGAGTCTGTGAATTGTATCCTAGAATAGTATTTTAACCCCTAGACAATGTGAAATCTACTGCCCTCAGTAAAACATACCTACTGTGGGCATAACATGTGATAACCTAACAAAGAAGAGATCATAACGGGACAATTCCCAGTAGAAGCGAACCAAGTCTGAAAATGGCACCCTTCAATATACAGAAACAGTTGCTGACCACGGTGGACCAGCAAAAAGAGGATTATGACGTCCCTTGTCATGAAATTTTATCCATTTCTATATGAAGTCCGTATCTAAAGATGATATTGCTATCCCCCCTGATGTGTCCGTCCCCTCAACCCCAACCATTCACTTGCCCCTGGGTGTAAACAACAGAAAAATCAGCTCTTTTGTCTCGTTCAATTGTGGTGTGCCATCAAAATCTGGGTACGATCTATGCGTGCAGCGAGGATAAAAAGGTTGGGGGGGGGGGGTGGCATGGTGTTGAGGGGCACTGTTTTAAAATATAAGTCTCGTCCTCTGATTCCTGCTTTCCCAAAAACATACAACACAAAATTATTTTAAAAACTTTTGTTGGCAAGATAGTTAATCGCCCTATAAATACTACAAGCAGACCAGTTTACCCTCAAACTCTTAAAATCGCACAATATCACAAAATCGTTCAATACATTATCTTAATGGTAAAAAAATAAACATACAATATATATAATGTATACACTTCAAAATCGTACATTGTACGTCAAAATCATAAGAGTAAACAGGTATGTAAAAGAATAATAAACTAAGAGGAAAAAATTTTCCAAAGAAGTATGGCATTATTTTCACTATTTAAGATTAACCATTTGTAAAGCATTTACTTTGTCTGACTTCCCACACTGTAACAGAAGCTTTTAGAGGTAATGGAATGTGCAAAACAAAGTGAAATAAGGTCAGGATCACATGGACCCTTTTACAAACCAGCATTGAGAATAATGTGGGGAAACTTTCATTTTCAAGCCCTAAAATATGTGGATTCATCAAAAGAGAAAGTACTACAGTATTAGGAATTTAGTATGGAAAACAAAACATATAGTGAGATCGATTTTTTATCATACCCTTAGCTCCATGACCATACTGACGAGCTGGTTTTAACTCTCTTTCTGCCTTTGCATATTTGGCTGCGGACACCATCTTCATGGATTTGGTAATTTTCTGAATATTGGTCACAGACTTAAGACGAAGGCGAACTGTAGATAATGAGGAAAAAATATATCATTTAATTGATTTAAACAATTTTAATAACAATGCTAAAGTAAACGGTCATGTGGAATGAAATTACAAACAATGAAACATAGTTTACATCATTTCTTTCATGACATGAAGTTTATAGCTCTTTGGCTATTGATTCAACATTAAAGATACAATTTGGAACATTTATTTGTTAATTTATTTATGTTTTCAGTTTCAATTCATTAAAAAGAAGAATAAATCATATGGTATCATAGATGGAAGACACAAAATTTGTACTTTTTGTTTTGTAAAAACCTCTAAAATCCATGAAAGTGTCAGATACTAATTTAGAATGTTAAATTGAGTCCCAAATACCTTACAGTAATTTTAAAGTAAATATTTTGTAACACGTTCTGTAGCATATTGATCTGGAGTAAACAGATGCCAGAATTGTATCACTAACTGTTTCATTGAAAGTCTCTCAAGAATTGATGCAAAAGAGTACATCTGAACCTCCTGCCTTATGAAAAGCCTAAAGGTTTTAAGAATTTATTCTTAGGCGATGGAAGTATAAATAATGCTGTTTTCTTCAACTTGATCATTTTCATTATGCTAATGGATTTTTAGCATAAGGCCTACTTACTTTCTTTTAATGTTGCCATACCACGGACCTGAGCCTGGCCACTGAAAAAATGTAAAGGAAAACACCATTTATTCTAGGCCTATTTTAAAAATTTAAATTGATGCTAAAATTTCATAAGCTAGACCTCATTAGTTTAAAAAAATAGACCAATAATTCCAATAGGGCTTGGCTTATATTCATTTAAGGTAGACCTGCAACAGCATACCAATTTGATAAATTCATACTTGAAATCACCTTAGTACTAAACCTCCACATCTTGTGGCCCCATTTCACTGATCGTGTCGTGCGCATCAACTCTTATTTTAATAATAATTTTATACAACTTTTTTTCAGAATTAAATATTGTCTGTCTGATTGCCATATAGTAATAATAGGTACTTAGTAAGTACCTTCTATTATTTATTATGGCAATCAGACAATATTTAAAATTTCTGTCAAAGTACCTAGCTACTACTATAACTAATTCAAATTTAACTCTTTCGATGCGGAACAACGCACACTGCATTCATCCACTGTTCTCAAAGCACAGACCAACACGCTCTGCGTCATTTTAATATCATGTTTGTTTCTTTGCTATTTCTCGGTTAAACTTTTAAAGAGCTATTTTTAAATAAGACTTTTACATAAAAGAGTGGTACTTCATTGTTAATATGAGCGAAACCAAGGTTTATTTGCTGTCATTTAAAGCAATATTGTAATGATTTTCTTTGCTTTTTTTTCTACTGTTGTTATGGCTACTCTAGACCTGTAAGTTTCCTAGACGAATAACAGCTCAAAAAGCTTTGGAATTGTTATAATTGTTTTATACTACTTCTTTTGATAGTGGAAGATGATTTATATTAAGATTTAGATCCATCGCATGATTCCAATAGTAGTTGTTTTAGAGGATTTGAATTATAGAAGTGAAGATTTCAGAAGATGAGGTATGCTTACAACATTATCATAATCATAGGCTTGGGGAAAAAATGTGTTAGTTAAGCATAAAATCATAAAACATTTTAATTTTATGGTTATTTTCTGTTACTTATTTTATTTAAACTGAAGAAATAAGTTTACAAACATAGTTTGTACTTTAAATTATCCTTCATTCGATACAAAGTTTAGTCTTATAATTTATAAACCACAGAATAATATTTTAAAATTTGTTTAATGAACCCAATCTCTCACTCTGATCGAGTCTTTTTAGCTCTTAAAAAATGTATATTTTTTCGGAAAAATTCCGCAGCGAAAGAGTTCATCCATCAAGTATAATTTAATAAAATAATTAGGCTTATGTACTTAACTAATAATCTATAAATACATGCATGTTGAAGCAGAATTTAATGTTGGTGGGGGGGGGGGGTATTTTTAATTTCATTTTAATTTTTGAAGGGTCGCAAGAAAACTTCCTTGGAAAAGCTAACGGGCCCATTAAAATATTTAAGGTAATAATCTGATAAATATGATGTAAGCCAGTGAGTAATAAATTGAGAACTAAATATTTTTAAAACCACTTATTTGCGAAGTATATGCAATATTACATACCATTGTGGCACCAGCAAAGGTGCTGCCCTTGACAAAATCACCTCCATCTTGTTCACACTCAAACCCGGTGTAGCTAAATATAAGCTAACTAGTGATATCAAATTAACGTAAACTCCAGAACAAGTCCATAAGTCGTTTACCGCAAAATTGGTTGCGGTAATTTTCGGCACCTAACATGCCCCTTGCTCTCTAATCAATTTTTTAATGTATTTCTTTACAATTAAATTTTATATTTTTAAGTTTTTATAATTTCATTAAATTTTATAAACTTCTTATTTGTATATAACAAATTGATTATCACAAATTATTTAATTGTTATAATTACTGTATTTATGTTTTTAAGGCTCTAAGTGGCATAAGCGCTTTGCCAATTTGATGCTTGAAGAATAAAATTATTAATTGCATAAAAATGTAATAATTTAATTGATAAAACCCAGTTTGCTATAAGCGTGTCATATTTATAATCAGTCATTAATTTTTAAAATAACTTTTAAGAATTTTTTTCATCTCAAATTCTACCACTTATACAAAATTTGAGCAATAGATAAGCAGGCTATCTTGGCTTAGGGAAATTAGTAAACATACTTCAAGCACTACAGACTTTAGCTTAGCAGTTTGAGACCCCGCAGCAGAAGAGCAAGAAGAGTAGAACTGACAATATGAGAAACTGATATTTCGATACCTTTTAAAAGTAAAGGCAAAAAAATACTAAATGATTTCGTAAAACTAAATTTTTGCGTTCATTTAGTATCAGTAGTACTAGTAAGTAAGCTAAGTAGTAAGTAGGCCTTGCCTATAATTTAATTTGGCCAGGTTTAGCCTTAGTTAGCCTTGCCCTTCTTACTTAATCATAATCTTACTTAGTCTTAGTTAGGCGCCTTAGCTGGGCTTCTTTATTTTTACGTCTTAGACTAGTCTTAGTGTTTAAGTATAGTAATTTTACTTAGTCTTTTAATTTATTTGTTACTAAGTCCAAGAAGACCCTGTAACTTAGGGGTCTTCCATTAATTACGTCAACAATTTTTCCGCAATTTTTACACCCTCCCTCCCCCTTCCTTGTCAACAACTGTCAACTTTCGATACCGCCCCCCTTATTTAATTATGTCAACATTTTATAAACCCCCCCCCCTCCAAAAAAATGAATTACAATATAAATAAATGTATAAA